ATATACAGTAAGTTACTTCATAACTTTACTGAATACAGTACCACAGGGAGGAACTAGAGTGATCTTTATATAGAAGGATATTCATAACACAGAACGCCAAAGTATACAGTTATATCAGATTATCTAGCCAAGATGACCATTTCTCATCATATTGAAAAGATATTCCCCTCCTATATATATATATATATATATATATATATATATATATATACTGTATGGAGGGGCTAAATATAATATATACTGTATAGAGGGGATAAATATTATATATAGTATATGGAGGGCTAAATATAATATATACTGTATGGAGGGGCTAAATATAATATATACTGTATGGAGGGGCTAAATATTATATACTGTATGGAGGGGCTAAATATTATAGTGTGTGGAGGGCTAAATATTATACTGTATGGAGGGCTAAATATATATACTGTATGGAGGGGCTAAATATTATTATATACTGTATGGAGGGCTAAATATTATATATAGTGTATGGAGGCCTAAATATTATACTGTATGGAGGGCTAAATATTATATATAGCGTATGGAGAGGCTAAATATTATATATACTGTATGGAGGGCTAAATATTATATATAGTGGATGGAGGGGCTAAATATTATTTTTATATATATATACTGCACGGAGGGGCTAAATATGATATATACTGTATGGAGGGCTAAATATTATAGTGTATGGAGGGGCTAAATATTATATATACTGTATGGAGGGCTAAATATATATACTGTATGGAGGGCTAAATATAATATATACTGTATGGAGGGCTAAATATTATATATAGTGTATGGAGGGACTAAATATATAAATATATATATATACTGTATGGAGGGTCTGAATATTATATATAGTGTATGGAGGGCTAAATATTATAGTGTATGGAGGGGCTAAATATTATACATACTGATCGGGAGACTTAATATAATATATACTGTATGGAGGGGCTAAATATATATATACTGTATGGAGGGGCTAAATATATATACTGTATAGAGGGGATAAATATAAATAGTATATGGAGGGCTTAATATTATATATACTGTATGGAGGGGCTAAATATAATGTATAGTGTATGGACGGAATTAATATATATAATGTATGGAGGGACTAAATATAATATATAGTGTATGGAGGGACTAAATATAATATTTCCTGGCTCATCATGGCAGCATTTAACATATGGGTTTAACGCCTCCCTCCAACCCCCAGGACAGGAAACACAATCAATTAAACAATTAAGCCTACCTTCCCCTAGTATATTAGGTACCCCAGTATCCCCCACACCTCAGTCTTTTCCTGTCCTCCTAGCCCTAGGACAGTTTAAATATTTTTTTTTTCTCTTCTCAGTTTTTTCTGAATGATTTTTTATTTTTTGCTCACCTGGCCATGTTTTATATGGTCTTGTCCCTTTGGAGGTCAGCCTCCCTCCTCAGGAAGCCCAGACACATGTAGCCCAATCTCCATGGAGTTGGGAACCCCTGGGAGCCTGGGTGGTTAGTTCCACAGGCTGTGGGAATCCTCTGCCGTCCAGTGTGTGCTGCAGACCTCGATCAGAAGATCAGCATAAGGGTAAGACACTCGCGCATGCGCAATGCGTCCGACCGGACCCAGAGTGAAGTTTGCCCCTTTCCAAAATGGCGGTTTAGCGATCTCGCGACCGAAGTGCGCATGCGCGATCATTTAAAGGTACAGAGCGGGAAATTTGAAATGGCGGTATTTAGCCTAAAAAACGCTCGTTTCCGTTCCCTTTAAAGATACAGTGCTCTAGTAGACTGTTCTTAAAGCTCTGCAGGTAAGAGAATTACATATATTACTTATATTTTGAAATCTTCATAATATTGGGCTGGGAATACATTTTTTATTATTTTATTGTTCTTAGCCCTTCAGTCAGTATGGATCCTTCATCCCCTTCTGCAAGATCAACGAGATCTGCTATAGGTCATAGGTGAGCAATATTTTTTTCTTGGTTTCTTCACGTTACTAAAAAGAGTGCACAGAGGGTACAGTCTTACGACTTCTGTATCTTACAGCCCTCGTGACCGGTCCTGTCCCAGATCCCCATCGAGGAGAAGGGAGAAACCGGCAGCCTGCCCTGCATGTGGAGCAAGGCCTTTGGATAACTGCAGGCTCTGCAGGAAATGCTTAGCCATGGTCGCAGGAGAATCTGATCGCCAGAGGTCACCACAAGCCTCTACCTCCTCAGCCAAGGATATTGCTTATTGGATTAAGCAGGCAGTGGTTGAGGGAATTGCTGAATCCCACAAGATCAAGAGATCAAGAGGGGAAAACTTCGGCGTGGATTCAGATCAGTCTGACGATGAATACAGACAGACTTCATCTTACCTGGATTTGGAGCCAATCTCGTCCAGTGAAGAGGAGTATATGGAACAACCTTGCTCCTTGGACTCCAAAGCTATGGAGCATTTGATTATGGCTGTTAGAAGAACATTGGATTTGCCGGAAGAAACCAGAGAATGTTCAGCTTCTGACAGACACTTTGGAGATTTACATAAGAAAAGACCTTCCTTTCCAGTCCACAGCTCTATTAAAGACCTGATAAGGAACGAGTGGCAAATTCCAAGTAAGAGGATTACTAGTCAGGGTCGGCTTTCGAAGCTATATCCGATTAAAGAGGAGGATTCCAGATTGTGGACTACGGTCCCCAAAGTTGATGCTCCTATCATTAAGGTTGCTAAAAGATCCACGCTACCAATTGATAGCAATGCTTAAGGAGCCCATGGATAAAAGGATTGATGCTGATTTATCTAAAGCTTTCATGACAGCGGGTTTAGGTTGCCATCCAGCTGTGTCCATTTCGGCTTTGTCCAGAGCCAATGCGTTCCTGGTTGCTTGACTTGGAGGATGACATAGATAAAGGTGTCAGTAGACGTCAGATGACGGAATCCTTAAGAGATATCAAACTCGCCAGTGACTGGCTTTTGGAATCCTCCACTGGCCTCATTAGGATTCTTTCTAAGGTTATGGCACATTCAGTCACCGCTAGAAGGGCGCTTTGGCTAAGATCCTGGGGGGCAGACCTGTCATCCAAGAATAATTTATGCTCACTTCCCTTTATGGGAGAAGTGCTTTTTGGGAAACCTCTGGACGAAGCTATTAAAAAAGCGGCAGAGGTTAAACAGGTCATGCTGCCACAAGATAGGCGTTCAAAGAGACCTCGTCTGGACCGTAGACCTTTTAGGGATCAAGGCTACTTTAGGGAAAGTAAGACTTACAGGCCAGGCAGAGAATTCTCAAGGAATTCCAATTGGAAGAGCGGCCTGAATGGAAAATCCTCTAGGGGCAAGACGCAGACCTCTTCCTTTCGCCCCAACAAGCAATTCTGAAGGTGGCTTACTCCAGGTTCCTCGAGTGGGAGCACGTCTTTCATTCTTTCAGAGGGCCTGGAAAATCATTCCAGATGCTTGGGTAAGATCCATCGACGAATATCCACCTCCACCAAGGTTTATTCGCACAAAGCTTCCAGCCAACATCCGAAAACAAGAGGTTTTGACTCTTTATGTCAACAATCTTCTTATGGAAGAGGCCATCATACCTGTACCCATAAAAGAAAGATTCCAGGGATATTATTCCCCCCTGTTCTTGGTCAAGAAGCCAGAGGGAAAATGGAGGCCTATTTTAGATCTCCACCAGCTCAACCTTTATCTGAGAGTCAGAAAATTTCGGATGGAATCCATTCGCTCCATCATTCCGGTTGTTCATCACCAAGATTGGATGATATCAGTAGACCTCAGGGATGCATATTTTCATGTCCCTATCACGTTCACCCATCAAAGGTTTCTCAGGTTTTGTGTCCGGAAGGAACACTTTCAATTTCAGGCCCTTCCTTTTGGTATAAGTACGGCCCCGAGGACCTTCTCGAAGGTTCTGGTCACCATCATTGCTTTGCTCAGAAAAGAAGGTGTAGCGGTGTTTCACTACCTGGACGACATCCTGGTAGTGGCTCCGGACCTAGCATCAATATTCCAGCACAGGCAATTAGTCCTCGACACTCTATCTCATTTCGGTTGGCTCATCAATTACGAGAAGAGTCACTTGCATCCTTCAAGAGAACTGATATTCCTGGGAGCAAATTTCAATACAGACACAGCGATTGTATCCCTCTCACACGACAGAAAGATCAGACTTCAAGATCGGATAAGGGACTTCAGACTAAAGACTTCAGCCTCGGCAAGAGAGTTTATGAGACTTCTGGGGACTCTTTCCTCTACGATAGAACTTGTCAGATGGGCTCAGTGGAACCTTCGCCCTCTTCAACAATTTTTCTAAAAAATTTCAGGACCGACTCGAGGGAGTGGGAGACGCTGATTCGCATTCTTTTGATTCTGAAGCAGAAGCTCCTTTGGTGGATGTCGTGGGAAAATCTCTCCAGAGGGTTCCCCTTGCGGGAAATAGATTGGGTGGTCATTACGACAGATGCCAGTTTGACAGGTTGGGGGGCACATTTAGGCAATCAATTTTTTCAAGCAAATTGGCCTCCAAGAACTCAATGCTTGCCTTCCAACATCAGGGGGCTAAGAGCAACCTTTCTGGCGCTTCTTCATTTTCAGCATCTCATCAGGCATTGCTGGGTCAAGTTGAGAGTGGACAACAAAGCGGCTGCTGCCTACATAAACCATCAAGGCGGAACAAGGAGTGTAACCCTGATGAGAGAGAGAGTTCCCATTATGACCTGGGCTCAGAATCATGTGGAAGGCCTGTGTGCCATCTATCTCCCAGGGAAGGAGAATGTAATAGCGGATTTCCTCAGCAGACATCGGATAGAGGCTTCAGAATGGCAACTTTCCAGGAGGATCTTCGCTCGGTTGGTCCAGAAGTGGGGTCTTCCCCAAGTAGACCTCATGGCGACCTTTCGGAATGCGCAGGTTCCATGCTTTGTGTCGAGGAGATACCATCCAAAGGCGGTTGCTCAGGATGCTCTATCCATCAATTGGGTATTCGATCTGGCTTACGTTTTTCCTCCAATTCCCCTCATACACGCTGTTCTGATCTCCAAGGAACATTGCAAGGTGATAGCTGTACTTCCATTCTGGCCTCGTCGCCCTTGGTTTCCCCTGTTACAGAGGTTATCAGTGGACCTGCCTTGGGAACTTCCAGTCTCAGAAGACCTGCTGATTCAGGGTCCAGTGTTTCATCCGGAGCCTCACAAATTCAGGCTCCATGCATGGCTATTGAGAGGAAGTCTCTAGTTGAACATGGCCTTTCGGACCAGGTTATCTCTACCCTGTTACATTCCAGGAATCCTTCTACTTCTTCTACTTACCACAAGGTATGGGAAACCTTTGCTCGATGGTGTAATTCCATGGTTCAAGAATTAGGTTCCCCTTCCGTGTCTCAGGTTTTGGGTTTCCTGCAAGCAGGCCTGGAGAGGGGCTGTTGTGGTGTGACCTAAATATGAATATTAATCTCTTAATACATAATAATTAAGCAATACGGAACAACATTAATATTTTTATAATTCATGGTATTATGGTCGAATATGTGGATAGAAAATACACAAAACGTTGTAATATTAAATGTATATTTAATATAACTATAACAAATAAACAGATGCTAGCGGAATGTCAATTTCAATAATTATACAATACAATACTACAAAAGGCTATTACTGTTACAATACAAACATATTACTTACAAGGCCCCAGCCCTTTGGCTGGGGTTAAGTCAGAGCTGGTACTACATCTTAGGTTCAGTCAGTTACAGGCAAAGAGGCAAAGAGACAGAGTTTTCTCCTCCATCTGGTTTTATTCAGTGTAAGTAGGCTGGCCTGTGATGTCACTGCCAGAAGCACATGTCTTCCTACACACTCCCCCTAGTGGTGCCCCCAAAGCATTACACTAAATATGCTTTCTTTATGATGTAAAGTCATTAATTAATAAATACCATTACAAACCACCCTTTGACTTATGTCATAAAACAAGCATTTATAAAACCAGTAAATTGTGAATCTTCCCCATTTTAACACTACCTGCCCTACAACAAAACCCACCTTTTGAAGAACGATACCCATTTACCCATTAATTATTACCCATTAACATTTTATTGCTTATATAAATGTTCACCATTGAGCACATGCATTACCAGTTGGGAAATAGGCACATACCCACCCTTATAATAATGAACAACTCAAACCATGTTTTATTAGATTAACCAATGATATTGTGTTCATGTGAGGATGTGTTTTGGAGCTAAATATAGTATTAGACACCACAAACTCATAACACCTATGAATCATGGCACAGACCGACTCGATTTCTGTAGCCTCTGGCTGGTCTGTGTGCCTGGAATTTTCACAAACATTAGTCCTGGAAACTGGATACTCTATTCTTCGACAGTCTCATAGAACATACGCATGGAGACAGGGATGAATGAAACAGTTCATGTGATCAAGGACTTTTGTGTGTTTGTGGTCACATTGTTTTGTTTTTTCTTTCTTTATACCATTAACCACCTTGACGTAACAGTTTCCTGCTCCTGATGCATTTTGTTCCGACTCTCACCACTCTTAGCTGCAATATTTTTTCTCCTTACAGCAACAGTTGAGCATAGTGTCCAGTGCTTCTTCTTCTTCTGCTTAAAATATCCTTGCTTGAAAGTTCTTGAATGAAAACACAGGCAATGACGAACACAAACATAAATAATAACTGTGCCAATCATCACAAGTACCATTTGATTGTGGTGTCTTAACCATATTTTTTTCCTATGGCGTTTGGATAAATACCTACACACCTCTCTTCACATCCAGCACACTCCTGATTCACAGATAAACACAATATCACTGCTGTATCTACCAATTTAACCCAAACACTCGTTATTACTGCTGCATTTACCAATTTAATCTAAACACTCGTTATCACTGCTGTATTTAACCAATTTAATCTAAACATTAACCAAAACAATTACATTCCTATTTACCACCCTTCTATTTAAACATGTATAGATAACCCAAAATGCCTACTTTCTCTTATCCCTCTTATTTTTTTGTTTTTTGAACTGCAACCACTCATGCACTTTACACAGACACAAATCAAGCACCTACTGGACAATGGGGTTCCCTCGTTAGAGCCCTCCCACCCCAGTTTGGTTTACACAAAAATACCCCCTGGTCCCTATGGGTCAATTCCCCCCTTTCCCAGGCATACATACATACATACATACAACAATAATAATACATAAGGGTTTCAATTGCAATACAATCACTAGAAATAAGAGAACAGTATGCACAAAATCATAGCATAGACATGTTAAATAGACAATAAAATAAAACATTCAATAGCTCATCAAAGGTCAACATTTAAACACTGGTCTCCATCTGATATTCTATCTGTGTTCCAATGTCCACCCCTGGTTTCTGCTATATCTGAAAAAGGTAAGAAAACAGATCAGGATTACTTTTCCTTGTCACTTATAGCGTATACTGCCAAATCCTTTACTTAGCATATATACATATATACACATATAAATACATTCCCTAAACTTTTCATTTTATAAACAATTTGTTCAACAAGGTAACTTTCTTAATTTTCTACTTGGCTCTTAAAATAAACAATCAGCTAATAGCTGCTTTCTGCATCTTCTCTGCAATTCAGGAAACACATTTCTAGCCAACCTAAACATGTTTAATAACTCTCCACCCTTTGGTTAAATTATAGAGGAGTGAACCACAACACCTCTTCCGCCTCTGAAAGGATATAGGTCAATATGTCTCAAAGTTCAACACTTCTGACAGCTATGAGTGACTCCCTATTAATTTCTAGCCTTTCCACGGACATGCTTGCACCTCGCGGCTAAGGGCCTGCACAACTAACCACCCTGTGATGGCAGTGGCTTTCCGCATGGGGGTGACCGCCCCCGCAAAATTATAGAGGAGCAAACATACAGCAGCCTCTTTTCCGGCTCGATTAAAGGTTCTGGGCCAATATGTCTGCAATTTAACCAGTACACTCACGTATCACTTATTGTATATTTCCTGGTCTCTCAGGAATTTCTATTAAATAGCGTATCCCCTTCCCAGGGCAATATACAACAAAAACTAGTCACCAAGGGTCTCTATGGTCATGATAGGCCACCCTACCACTAGTGTAATACGCCCTTTTTAAAAATATATTTCCTGGTCTCTCAGAGATTTTGCCTATCCCTTTCCCAGAGCAATATATATAAACAATTACAAATAAGTTACAAAACGCTACTTATAAGTAATACAGGGTTTCAAATAATAATACAGGATAGAACTGCACAACAACTATTGGGTATGCTCCCCCTTATCCGGACACGTTTAAATACCCCCTAGCTCAGGTTCCCCACCCGCTACTGTAACTAAAATCACAGCCCACGTTATGGAGGTTCACCCGCTAGGCAGATACACCCTAATTCAAAGCATGGAAATATTAAAATCAGTTATAGATGGCTTCTAAAATAATATAAATCTTAATCTGAGCCCCTACACTTACTTTGTTAAAAATGCTAACTTGTTAAAATATTCAGACTAAATAGGACAAAGGAATTATTTTACCATTTTTCAGTTCATTTGTTACCAGTTCCTGCATATGTCCAGTAATTCCTTAGTCCTGGATAATAAAGCTGAAAAACACTCCACAAATTGATTAGCTTAGGCAATTACATTTACAAAACAATGCAGTTTATTTTTCTCATACAGGCAAGACTACCCACCCCCAACAAGGACAAATTCTCCCCCAGCTGTAGCTGAAAAGCATGGTCACACAGCTGTTAAAAAGGTGGTCTCTCCTTCATGAGTCAAAATCATATATATTTATACTAATATTCTGTGTATACGCACACATAAATCTATTATTCACTGAATCTGCTTTACTAAACGTATCTTTTTCTTAACTACTAATTTAATACATTTTGTCCAAATCTCTTTTCAACTAGACAAATCCATGAATGCCAAACAAATGTAAATTAGTACACAAACAGGGTCAAATTTAGCAATAAAACCTGGTGAACTAGTTTAGTGAAAAGTCTTTTCCTATGCAAATGGTAGCAAACAATGAAACTAGGCCTCAACTCATTCACACCATGTGGTCAATGGTGGATTAAAATCCACATGGTCAGACAAAAAGTAAAATAGTTTTTTGTTTTATATATAAAAATGACCAAAGGTTGGTAAAACGTAACAAGCAACACAATAATTCATCACTATGTTCTACAACAAGAGATACCTTAAAAAACAAATATCTAATCCCTATCTGCTATCTGCATTCATTCCATTAAAACCAAATCTTCATTCATTTATTCATTTGTATACAGACAGACAATTTACAGTATGATTTAAGCAAAATGCATAACATTTATATTTTCCCCAATATTCAAGCATAATCCTGCCGACTACGCCAAATGTTGTGGTGTGACCTAAATATGAATATTAATCTCTTAATACATAATAATTAAGCAATACGGAACAACATTAATATTTTTATAATTCATGGTATTATGGTCGAATATGTGGATAGAAAATACACAAAACGTTGTAATATTAAATGTATATTTAATATAACTATAACAAATAAACAGATGCTAGCGGAATGTCAATTTCAATAATTATACAATACAATACTACAAAAGGCTATTACTGTTACAATACAAACATATTACTTACAAGGCCCCAGCCCTTTGGCTGGGGTTAAGTCAGAGCTGGTACTACATCTTAGGTTCAGTCAGTTACAGGCAAAGAGACAGAGTTTTCTCCTCCATCTGGTTTTATTCAGTGTAAGTAGGCTGGCCTGTGATGTCACTGCCAGAAGCACATGTCTTCCTACACACTCCCCCTAGTGGTGCCCCCAAAGCATTACACTAAATATGCTTTCTTTATGATGTAAAGTCATTAATTAATAAATACCATTACAGGGGCCTTCCACTTAACACGCTTAAAGTGCACTGCTCTGCTCTTTCAGCTCTTTCCGGTGTTCGTTGGGCATTGTATCCTATTGTAATTCGCTTCTTCAAAGCAGTCATTAGGATCAGACCTCCTATCAAGGTATTCTCTGCTCCTTGGAATTTGCCTCTGGTTCTGCAGGCCTTGACGGAACATCCCTTCGAACCTATTGATGAGGTCTCTATGCAGGTTCTTTCTCTCAAGACCCTGTTGTTACTGGCCTTGGTATCTGCTAGGAGAATGTCAGATATTAGAGCACTGTCGCCTGAAGAACCGTTCACTACCTTCTTCGATGATAGAGTTGTGCTACGGCCTAGACCTGAGTTCCTTCCTAAGGTTGTTACATCCTTTCATCTGAATCAAGAGATTGTCCTGCCAGGGTATTTTCAGGAGCCATCGTCTCCTGAG